CAACTCTTCTCAACTTCTCTCTTTCTAAATCCATCCATCCAGCCAGTACATATCTGTATTGTAAATAATGTTTTAGCCCAAGCTCCCCAAGTAACCATTCACAAATACATGGATTTTGGTGGTTTTTTCATGAAGAAAGGGGGAAAAAAAATCTCTTGTGAGATACTTCCTCCTGCAGTACAGGCAGGATCTCTTACAAATAAGGATACTGTGAGGAACACACCATGCACAAACAGGGTAGCATGCAAAAACAGTTAGACAAGAGCTACATAGCAGCAATCTCTTTGCAGCTGACTGTGGCAGGCTACTGATTATCTGTGTTCATTGTGCATCAAAAGTTTGTGAATTTGCATATAAAATCCAACTGAGGGATCAGAAAATACACACTGCTAGACAAAGCCCTGATTTATAACAGCACTTGGTCACATACTTACTATTTGAGCATATGATGTAACATTTCTATATCACACTAGAATGCACCTTTTTTTTAATTCAGCCCGCTGTTCTGAATAAAGTGGGTTAGCTCTGGAGGCAGATGGAAGCTCAGCCAATGCTGCCTGCTTACAGGACTGACATAATGGACATTCCTGTATGGGTAAAGAACATAATTTCACAACACCCCTGTGTATACTACCTGTTGCCAAGGTGAGAGGCAAGAGAGCCCATTCCACACTTTCTCATCCCATGGGAGCTCCAATTAAGTTAGTCTTGTTTTGCAAGCTTTCACTCCTCTTCCCACACAATCCTCTGTGCTGTGTAGACACATGACAAACTTGAATACAGAGTTGGCCCATATAAAAATATTTTCTTGAAGGGCTTTACTTACCTGTCCTGATGAGGTTTACTACACTGCAGTAAAGTGCTCAGGGAATGAAAAACAATGTATCAGGTCCTGACACTGACTACCATACTGTAAGCACAGTTTGACAGGCAGTGAACTCTGGGACCTGAGCATCCAAAGGCTAAGTCATGATGATACTTAGTGCTGGCATGTTCCTCTTCTGATGAGAATTTGTCCCTCTCTTGATTTGATTTGCAAGGGATGCTATTCAGTGCACCAAGCTGCTGGTCACATTTACTGTGTAGTTAGTAAATATTTTGAACAGATGTTAGTGCAGCACATCTCACCCACTCACCCTCACTAAACAGGACTTGGCACTTTTCCCAGATGTAGTAAATGGGGCACCAGTGGATAATAGTTTGTCACTTCTATAATTCCTCTATTTTAAATCTGATTATAGGGGGAACTAGAATTCCATAAACCTCTGTTAGATGGTAAATATGACTCAAAGGAAATGCATATGGTAAATGACAATTCAGAATTCAACTCAGTCTTCTGCGTTCAGAATGATGATCCTTCCGTTTGACTGGAATCTCCTTTGCCCCAGTTGTTTTTCTTCAGCTGCAATAAGAAAAAGAAGTCAATTTTGAAGAACTCTGACTAAGTAGTGTTTGCCCTGCTTCCTTCAGAGGCAACACAGGAGACATTTGACTTCTATTAGCAAGGCATTAGTTTTTCAAATGAAGACCCACTCCTCTGTGAGCAGTTGCAGTGTGTGACTTAAGAGCAAGTTCGTTCAGGCTGCAAGTGCAATGACACACCTGCAATTGATGAAGCAGTTGACACTGCCACTTTCCACAGAATATGCCGAGCTGGAAGGTACCCATCAGGATCATCGAGTCCAACTCCTGGCCTTGCACAGGACACCCCAAAAATCACACCATGTGCCTGAGAGCATTGTCCAAATACTTCTTGAACTCAGACAGGCTTGGTACTATGACCACTTCCCTGGAGAGCCTGTTCCAGTGTCCAGCCACCCCATGGGTGAAAAACTGTTTCCTGATATCCAACCTAAAATTCCCTCAATGTAGCTTCCTGCTGTTTCCTCGAGCCCTGTCACTGGTCAAGAGAGTGAAGATATCAGTACTTGCCTCTCCTCTTTCCCTCATGAGGATGTTGAAGACTGCAATGAGGTCTTCTTAGGATTCTACAAATTTCACAGTAAGCATTCAAAGAAAGCAAAAAGATCAGACTGTTTACAAGCGTATTACACACTATTCCTCTTCAGCAGCTGGGGTACATGGGGGATAATTGATGCTTTAATATCAAAATATTTATCATATTTTGAGTGTTCTGGTAGAAAAAAAAAGTAGTATGAGAGCTCTTAAGAAAATATGGCAGCAACAGCATGACAGGATAAAGGGAGGATGACTATCCTAGTCACCATGCAATTGGATTTATCCAGCTTAGACCAACCCTTCTTCAATGTTTGCTTCATCCATGTTTGTTTGACACATCCATAATCAAGATTACATAGTGGTGAAGTAAGGTGAATGTAATAAAACTTCTACCAAAGATCACATGAAGCATAAATAGCACTTTAGTGCTATTTTTGGGTTACACCTCTGCTACTGTTCCAGCAGAGGTGCCAATATCTGCCTTACAACAAATGCCAAGTGTTTTGTTGAAGTAAAGGTAGGCCAAAATACAGTACTGCCCCTGGTAAAAAATGGCTAGACTAGCAGTACACTTAGGTAGCACAAGTACTACAGACAAGCAAAAGCAAGAGCACTTACAAAGTTCCTTGGAGGTGTTGTTTTGACTTGAATACCTTGGGTTCTTTTGAAAACATCCAGCAGGATGTTACACAAAACAAACAAACAACACCAGTCTCCTGGGGTTGTACACTCCTGGAATTCTGACAGCACTCGCAAACTGGTCCAAAAGTAACATGTGGCAAGAGGGAGACATCCCTATCTGATACAAATTAGGGTAGTTCCATTTCTAGACTTGAATCAAGAGTAATGATTCCACTTGGGTCTTCTCTGACCCAAAACTGTGGAAGACGCTAATTTGACATCCTAAAAATGATTTCTCTACAGACTAATTTTAGTCTTTCATAACATAGACAAGCAAAGTCAAGCTATCTAGTGAGTTTTGTTTCAGCAAATTTTATTCAGTGAGTTGTAATAACATGCAGGAAATCAAAGTTGGGGAAAGGAAGTCTCCCACCTTCTATCCTCCAACTCCAATCATAAGGTCAGCCTCAATGTTAGATGCATTAATTATGAAGTATTAGTACAAAGCACATATTAAAACCTTTTTAAAATTAAATGATTGGAGGTTTTTTATGCTTTGTTTTTTTCAGCAAGCCACTGTAAACAATACAATCCACAAAAAGGAGCAGCCAACAGTGGCACTGTTTGATTATCATTAGCCTCCTGAATGTACTGTATTAATACAATAACTCCCACTAAAATATTCTAATCCAGCAGTTTATTTCTCTTCAGTCAATAGTTCTTGAGGGTGCAGCAAAGTCTAGAGTCAAGAGCCTAGACTCTGATACAAAGCTGCATACCTGAAATAAAAGACCTTTTGACCTCTTTCAACAATAATTTAAATAGAAAGTGTAGGTGAAGCAAGAAACGTATCTATTTAAACAGCACAGCACCTTACAGGCCTCTACACTTCTTAACTATGGGACCCATTTATTTCAAGGCAAGCAAGCAACTAAAACAACCTGCTCCCTCTACAGTATGTATTGCCAAGTGTGCTTCCATCCTTTTTCCTTCAAAGTGGTTGTTCACATGAAGTTTTCAGATTTTCTTTGAAGATTACTGAATCAAAAAAAAAGATATTCAAAGTTGCCCAAAATAGCCTACGTTATTAATTGCTCTTTCACAGCCATTATTAAGCAGTATATTAATTCTAGTGTTTCATGAGCATGGGCTTCATTCATCAGATGAAAATAACACTCCAAAAGCCGTGTTCTCATACTTCTACAGAAGTATAACAACAACACAAACATGCCAGTCTGTAAAGGAGGCATATTAATGATCATGATAATGATTTGCCAAGCAAATGCCTTCAGTCATATTTTTTTCTGTGGGTACTAAGCATCTTCTCCTCATACAAACTTTCCTTGAAGTGAATATTCAGTACCTTACAGTTTCAGAGTTCTGCTGGCTAAGGAAGAGCGTGAGGTTAAAAAAAAACTTCCAAAACACTGCTGCCCTAAGGGACTCAAGCATATATAGCAGTAAATGCAGAGCATTTCATTGAATTAGCAAACTCAAACTTTAATTTGACTACAGCCAGAAGACACTTTGCAAGCTGGAGTGGCATTCATTCCCTTGAGAGGACATCACCCCAAAAGAGTCACACTTACCCTACTGAAACCCCTTCCACACATCATGGCTTCACATAGGGTTTGGCCCTACAGGTCAGGTGATCTCTTCACAACCACCAGGTGTGCAGGTCTCTACATGGAGTTATAACCACCACACGTGTAGTGAGTTGTTCAGACAGGCTTCCCTAAACTCTACACGTCCCGAAGCTCAATACTACCCAACAGTTTTCTTCAGACTTCCTCTGAAACCACAATCAGCGCCCACCTCTCCTCAGTACCGGCCCGGCAGCACCCACACTCGATCTAGACCAGCTGTGTGAAATCCATCTTCTCCCGGTCGGTAATCTCTCCAACAGAATTCCTCCTTCATAAAACTCAAAAGGACATTTTAACTACTAAAAGACAAAACAAAACAAAAACAAACAAAAAAACAAAAACAAAGGAAAACCATACACGAACAACAAAACACACACACAAACCCCAAACCAAAACAAAACCCAGAAACCGCGGGAAAGTATGGGGCCGTCGCCTCGAGAGCCTCTGCCCCGTAAAGCTGCTCCGTCCTTTGAGCCTTTGGCCCTACCCCGGCCTCAGCGAGGAGCCCAGGGGCCCGAGCATCCTCACTGCCCCCCCGAGGCCGCAGTTCTCCTTTCCGGAGGCGACCCCTCATCTCCGTGCGGGCACGGAGGGCAGGCACCGCTCCCCCCGCCCGGCTGAATGCCGTCCCGCTGCCCGGCAGGCCCTGGCAAACCGCAGCCCCCGGCCCGGCTCTCTATCACTGCAGAGCGGAGCGGAGAGAGGCCGTGCAATACCATGCCGTACCGTGCCGTGCCATCCCGTGCTACCCCATGCCATCCTCTCCCGTCCCGCCCCCGGGTATCCGGTCAGCCCCTTCGGCGGGGCGGGCTGCCGGCATAAAAGCAGGGCTGCTCCACTCCGCCCTGTTGGGTTTTTTGCTCCCTCCCTCTGCCGGTGCCCTCCCCAGAGCCGCTGGGCCACGCCGGGAAGACGGAGGTACCCGCGGTCCTGGGGGTGTTCTGGCCGGGCGGGCGCGGGGGGACGGGACAGGCTGTGTGGTCGCTCGGCGGGAGGAGCTGGGGGGGGGGGCCGGGGAGGCGGCCTGAGAGCGGATGGTGAGTCGGTTATCGCAGCTGAAAGCTGCCCGTGGGTTTTGTTATGATGCCGATTGGGTTAGCAGGCACTGAGAGTGAGGTTGTCCGGCGTCCTCCGGGCGGTGAGGAAGGTACTGCTGCACCTCAGCTGTTGGACAGCCTTGGCGACAGGACCACTGTATTTTTGTGGGATCGCAACCCTCCAGGTGCAGTGAGAAAAATTCATGCGTGCTAAATCCTGTTCAGGTGATTGCATGATCAACCTTTAGTCCCTTCGGCTAGCAGAGGTGTTTTGCGGTTCAGCTGCCAGCCTCAATCCTGCCCTTGTGACTTGTAAGCGATAATAGTCTTTTCAAAGTCTGTCAGGTCTGCAAGAGCCTGTCGGCTGTGAGTTTTGTCACAGGTACCAACAAGCCTGTGTTAGCAAAGTTATCTGCACTTGAAATCTGTAAAACCTCTGATACTTCACTACCAGTAACAGTCTTCCACACTTATGTCTGTGTGAATGTAGACATATTAAAAAATGATACATGGCATCAGAAGTGATCTGAGATCTTATATGTGCCAAAGGCATCTTTGGTTAATTCACCTGGAAATAAATCCCTGATTGCTTTAGTTAAGGATGCAAAATCGGCCAAGTGAGTTGGTAAATTTAATTGTCTGTATGGGTATGCTTGCTTACAGTAGCTGGTATAATTAGTAGTGCTAATGTAGTGAGCGAGTGATAATGGAGGACTCCTGCCCCAGTCGAAGTTGGGTTAGGGGAGAAATGTGTTAGTGGAAATTGTCTCTTTGAAGAGTTGGTGCTCTAACAGGAAGTCTCTTGTGGTCTGTATGCCTAAATAAGTCTACTTCATTAAGTGAAAGTCAGTACTTTTTTAAAAAAATCTAATGTGTGTTTGTCCTATACAGGCCTAATATATGATTATTTTACTAGAAGTTCTAAACTGGGTTTAAGTCAAATTGTTTATTTCTTCTGAAGGCAATTGTCTCCCTCGGTTTTCCTTAGGGATTAAGTTTAACATTTTTATCTACTCCAGAGTTGCCAGACACCTTTCATGTAAGTGGAAGGTGTTTTGTTTAGTGCATTAAATCAGTGTAATCAGGCTAAATTCAGCAATTGCATTTATTTTAAAGATTTGTTGCTTCTGTTTGAAACTCAACAAACAACCTGTGTTTCCAAAAACTTGCTGGTTTGTTTATATATATATATATATACATGAAATTTAATGACACTTTTATATCTCTACTTTTGCTTAATCTGTAGTAGCTCTGTAGCTATGAGAGCCTATTACAGGAAATGTCAATATCAGCTCTAGAAAAATATTCCTGTGCTGCTTTGATATTTCTTAAGTTTCTTCCTGGTGTTACTGCCTCTATGTAGATTTAGTCACATTTTAATGGGAATGAGGAATAAAAAGCATTCTCTGTAAGACTTCTCCAGAAAGAAGAACTTGGTTTTCTACCTGCTGTGTTTTTGACAACTGTTTTTCTGTTATTGGAATAGTTTTAAGATGTTCTAATGTTTCTGCCAGAAAACTTTCTGAAGTAACTAGCTCTGTTCTAGCAGTGGCCTATCTCTTTTCAGGACTGCCCTAGTTTCCCATTTACAAAACCTGAGACTCATAACACATTTATGTCCACATGCTAAATTTCATGAACTTTGCTCAGAGTAACAGAGATCTAAGTAACTTATCTCCTGGCACTTGTCAAACACAATTACCTATATACATAGATAGCAAAGTTCACTAAGAATGTAAGCAAACTGGGCATGTAGTGCTAAAGGTTGAAGTGTAAGTGCCAGTGTACTCTACATTTAGCTGAGAAGGAAGATATTAAGCTTTCATACTGTAGTTAGAGATTAAAGGTCTGCTTTGACCAATGCTATGCGTTTCTTACATAGCACTGATATACTGGGAAATAAAATAACAAGGGCTTAAATGCCTGCTTGGTTTTTGTCATTACTGGGATGAGTACAGACTGTGAGGTTAAAAGCATACCTGAGATGGTATGATTCAAGCCTGTGACATTTGCTTCATGCAGGAAAGTGAAGAAACCTAACAGCTTTGCAATGAGTTCTTACAGCACTGTGTTCAACTGCAAAAGCAGACTCTCCTCAATATTGGTAGTACAGGTAGTTGAAAAGCTAGGAGTGACAGCCAGTTGTTTGCCTGCTGTGTTTGGAGATTTATAAGCATACTGTCTTCTGAAGCTCTCTATGTTTATGGTTTCTTGTCTTTTTTTTTTTTTTCTCCAGCAGAGTTGAGACTGTGACTTGTTCTAGATGTGATTTTGTGACAACAAGGAGTGCCTACAAAGCAACAAACATTGTGGCCCTTAAAGCAGAATTTTTCCGTACTAAAGTACTAGCTTGTGAGCACTAACATTGTTTGTCATGCATTTCTATTTAAGATGCTCAATTGGTAGATATCACTCTTTTTTTTTTTTTTTTTTTTTTTTAATTTTATTTTGAGCCCACATTCTGTCAGAGCAGAGAATGAAACCCATAACATCAGGGATGGGGAATTTCCAAAGCAAACAAGGGCAGCTGTTTCCTACTGCTGCTGAATTGTAAATGAATTGTGTACTATATTCTGGAGGAACAACCTGGAGATGAGACAAACAGAAAAAATAAGTCAGATATGCAGTTGTAAGCCTATATCTTTTTTTGAAGCAACACTTAAAAGTGGGCTAGAGAAAATATTTAGAATGGATCTGAAAATATGTTTTCAGTTTTGCAATGTTGGTGTTTGATTTTTTTTCTCTACGGCTTATCCTATCTGGTAAATGTTTGGTTTTTTTTTTTCATCAGGTATCTGAATAAATAGCCTCAAGATGAACTTCTTCCTGGAAACATTAAAGGTCATTGTACTACTACCGTATTACTTACTGGAGTCACTAGTGTTCTTGATTGTGCCTAAACCAAAGAAGAATGTTAGTGGTGAAATAGTATTAATAACAGGAGCAGCAAGTGGCGTTGGAAGATGCTTATCATTAAAGTTTGCCAGACTTGGAGCCACGTTGGTTCTATGGGATATTAATCAAGAGGGGCTCAAGGAGACAGTCAGACTGGCCAGAGAAAATGGAGCAGCAAGAGTACACTGTTACATCTGTGACTGTAGTAAGAGGCAGGATGTCTACAGTGTAGCTGATCAGGTAAAGTATCTTATTTGTGGCTTTGACACTATCCTAAGATGAGTGTATGCATGTGTGTAAAATGCACGATTAAGTTTTTTTTAGTGGCTTCAAAGTAAGAAATTAAAGTTAATTAATTCTGAATGTATTGTGCATTATCTAGTTCAAGAATTCTGGAGTTTAGAGTTGACTTGTGTATCTTTATTCCTTAAAAAGTAAAAAGAGAACTGGTTCTCTTTTTCAGTGGCTCATTTCAGCTGGGTAGCTTCTCAATCATTCATTCGATTACTGAGCAGGCACTTACTCATGAAGTGCAGAAAATCAATTTCTCGAAGCTAAAGCAGTATTTCAAGTTCTGGCAGCCTTTTACCAAAAGTAAACCCTAAAAACCATGCATTGTAAAAAGGATTAACTGCTTAGACTATTTCAAATAATTCCATGGCTGTGAATAGATTTTTGCAAACTCACTTTTTTTCTGAATTAATAAATATATCTTGAGGTCTTACATATTTTTTCTTTCATTTCTGAAGAGCTTTGTAAACATAAGATGTAGTTAGATATTTTAGGCAGAATAGTAGAATTGCCAAAAGCTAAAATTGCCTAACAGTTTCCAGTATAACAACATGTTCTCATTTGCTTAAAATTTGCTAAACTTAACTGTTGGACTAAGAATTTTCCACAGTGAGTGTTTGCCTGGGGATAAATTCTTTTTTTAAAAAAAAAAAAAAAAGGTTCTGCTGTCTTCAGGAACATCCATTGGCTGAAGGCTGAACTAAGGTTTTGGTGCTCTTTAAGAAGCTCTAGCCTTCTTCCTTTTTCTATCTATGCAAAAATGATTACAACAAGCTTTCTGATAAGTGAAGCTTATGCATAACTTGCAGCTTGTTAGAGGCTGGTGCTGTTGGTTTTGTATTCCAGTAATTCTGATCATCCTTGGTCCCCCTCACAGCTCCTTTACACCAGCTGAGCTGGACATCTGCTGTCCCTGCAGAGTAGCTGCACGTGTCTCTCCACAGGCCTGTAGCTGTGCTTCCAGCTGAACTGGGAGGACTGGAGGAGGAGGGAATATTGTAGAGTGAAGGACACTGGAATGAAGAAAATGAAAACTGACCTTCAGTTTTGAAGACTTGAGGGCTAACACTTCAGTCCCATGGAGAAAAGCAGTAGTTGAGCCATTCTGCCCAAATTTTAAAAAGAGAAGCTGATGTAGATTTGTGTGTAACACAGGTTCCAGATGATACAGAGTTAGACAGGGACAAAGAAGTTGTAATAGGGTCTTGGTGCATGATCCCTCACTTACAATTTTCTGTCAGTTGTTCACTAACTGTCAGATTCACTAATAATCCTCCTGCTGATTCCAGAGAAGAAAATACCCTACTAATGTTATTTCAGAAATGCCATGTTCTGTAGTTGTTGTAGAATCATGCTAGCAACTTTCCCATCTTACGAGTGACAAAAAGACTTCAGTAGTAGTTGGTGCCACTATTTACTTAGTGCAGCATAGTAGACTTTGGCTCACAGTGTTCAGCATCAGCCTTTGCAAAACAAGATAGTTTGGTTCCAGATTCTGGGGATTTTTTTCCCCCTCCTGGTGATTTAGCTTCACACAATGTCTTGGGGTTTTGCAAGACTGTAGTGAACTAAATTCATGCAGGCGTGGCAAGATATGGTTGAAAACTTTGCCCACAGTAAAACAATCTCAAAGCCAAAATGAAATTTATGTGAACCTTTAATACTTGCTTCATCAGCCACACAGAGACACCAGGAAAAAAAAGTTACTTCAGCACGAAGAAAACCAAAAGGCCTTGCACATGTGAGGTCCTTGTTCCTTTCCTATACCAACAGGATCAAGGACAGCTTTCGGCTATCAAGAGCTAGAGCTTAAAATTTATTTCTAATGTCCCTGTGCCCCTGGTGGTCTAGTGGTAAAGGCGCGGCGCTGTCACCGCCGAGACCCGGGTTCGATTCCCAGTCAGAGCCACTCCCGGGCAGGTGGGGCTCGTTAGCCCTTAAAGGCAACCCACCTACGTCCTAAGGACCTCGCTGCCACCGTCCAAGCTCGCTTGGCCCCGGCAGATGAACCTTAGGATTAAAGGGTGGGCTCAGTTCCGCGCACACTGTGTCTCACCTAAAAAATTCAATGCGCAGGCTGGAAGGTGGAAAGACCTTCCCTGGATCTTCGCTCGCGAAGACTGGCCATTATTAATGTCCCTGTTCCAGAAGTACCCAACTCATAGTGGAATGTGGCCTTCTCTGATCTACCCCTCCTTCAAGTTCAGTTAAAGAATCTAGGACTTTGAAAGATGGAAGTAACTCTGGTTTTTTATCCTCCTACTTGTGAAGAAACAGAAGCCTCTTCTCATAATTGTGCTGCAAAATTGCATCATGGATCACAGTTACTTTCAGGATCTCTCTTGCACTTTTTACTTGTACTTTTTTACTTATCTGCTAGTTTTGTTTCTTGCTTTTTAGTCAAGATGACAGTTTACAGTCAGTATTCCAGTATTCGAAGAATTTTCTTTCTTGTGCAGAGGAGCAACAGTAGAAACACACTTCCTGGTGGTATTTAATGCTGCCTATAAAATATCCAGTGGTTGTTTTTCTAACTCTTGTAAGCAGTTACAGAGAGGTTCATGGTTCTTAGAAAGTACACATTTTGGGATGCTGTTTGGGAGTCATGGGAATTGCTCACTACTAAACTTCAATGTAACTTCAATATAAATGCAGAAACAAAATGCTTAAATATAAATGCAGAAACAAACAGAAAAGTGTTTATACTCGAAAAAGCTGATTAACCAGATCACCTGTTTGCATAATGCTTGCTTTGCTGAGGCCTAAAACACCTGGAACATAATTTCCTGCACTGCATGATTTGAGAGGTTTAAGGCTCTGGGAAGTGGGCATTATTTTTACACGTACACTCACTCCTCCACTCCCCAGTAGCTAGAGAAAAGCCTTGATAAAGGTCTCTTATACTTTGTCTCAAAGCAGAGTGTGGAAGCCTGGGCTGAGTGTCTTGTCACTGTCATGCACAAGGGAGAGCTGAGAGAAGTGAATTAAAACAGCCAATTTGCTGAGGAAAGCTGCCACATCTAGTTAACAGGGAAGAAGCGTGAACAGAGATGTTGTAAAGCTGGAATTTGTCTGGGTTGCAAAGTGTGGCACTTATATCTGCTTTGAATTCCATCCAAAATGTGACTATATTTTGTAAGACTCAGTAGAGCCAAGTGGTAAAGGAAGAGGTTGTTCAGGTTTTCACCACCAGTTAGAAATGGTGTGATAGAAGTTCTGTTCACTGTTCCTTCTGCTCGTCTAACCTGAGTGCCCCAGTCACCAGGTTACAAACTGTTATGTACCACATCCCCCACCTCTGTCTTTTTTTGTCTGCACAAAAGAAGCATGACCATTTATTCAGTTATTTATTTGCCCCAAAGAGTAGATTTGAGGTACTGGTCCAGGTTTTCAGAATTGCTAGATCATCTGACATAAGGCAGTATTAAAACATCCCTTACTAACAAATACATTTATAAGTCTGTGCTATTTTTAACTTGTGATGAGGGATGCATACTCAGGTTGGTGACTAGAACAACTTGTCTAAGGCTGCCTATGGAGATCATGTGCCACTGCTTCAGAGTATTTAAACTGCTACAACTTTTTGAGAGGTGAGTAGACAGATGAGAATATTCAGGCAATGACTGAGGTGGACAGTGGCTCTGGCTGATGAATTTGTTACATAAGCTACTCTGTGTAATCCTATCAAAGCTGCTCTCTGGACTTTGTTGTTTGTTGGAGGTTTTTTTTTGAACCCTTGCTTAGTCAACAAACATGGATAAGTTTAAGGAAGATGAGAAAGTTAAGCTAGAATAAATGGTAGGTGATAAAATACCCTTTAATTCTTTACTGTTATATAGGTGAACCTATCTGCTCTGTCTGGGCTTTTTTCAGTCACTATAGGCACCTAGCAAAAGAAGCATGAAGAAATTAAGATCTCCAGTTGTATGGCAAGATGGTATAAAACCAATCTGTTTCCCAAAACTACTGATCAGTACACATTCAGCACTTAATCTGGAAGTCACAAGTTAAACAACATAGAGTACTTGTTTCTTTTTTTCCCAGATAGCTCAGATCAATTAATTGTACTTCAAATACTATATTGAATATTTTCATTCTCCTTTTGAGAGCTGGCACAATATCTTGGTATCAGCTGGCCTGTAGTTGTTCACTCAAGTGAGTCTGTTCATGAATGTTCTCAGTCTGGACCTAAAATGAGAACTATACTTCCTCCTACTGAGTTAAATATATAGGTATTGGTTTTTACCAACTTTTATTCTGGGATAGCATGTACCAGCTTCTAGTCCAGAACTGTTCATTGATTTTAAAATGGATTTACCATAGAAAAGTACTTGTTGCATTTGTTAAGGTCTCTGCAGTAGACACTTAATCTGTAACAGTTGTCCCCAGAAACAGAGGTGCTGAAAGCAGAAGCTTGTGTGGAGCTGTTGGAATCCACATCTCTAAAGAAAATCCAGTAGAAAACTCAGATTTAAAAAGGCATCAGGAGAAAATATGCAAGGACCTGAGGTGTTTGGTTCTATAAGAGGCATAAGTTTAACTCATTTGAAATGTTTAATATTTCTGTTTTGATAAGTTTTCATATATAATACTTAGAAAGCATGTTTTTTATTTATTGTAATATCTTGGTGCTTCTTGTCTTAGGTTAAAAAAGAAGTTGGCGATGTTAACATCCTAGTCAACAATGCTGGTATTGTAACAGGGAAGACATTTATTGATTCTCCAGATTCACTTGTAGAAAAAACCATGGAAGTGAACGCAATGGCACACTTCTGGGTAAGACCTATATTTTTCATATATATACTAAAACATCCCTCTAATGTGTTTTCAGTGTTAATTTTGCCTTTTGGAATTGAGGGAAACATGCAAGGATTTTTAGCTCTTTGGAAGTTCAGTTAGAAATGATACAAGAGATTGCTTTCTATGCCCTGGAGTCTATAAAATTTAAAAAAAAAAAAATGGATGGAAGAGTGGATCCTTTGAGAACCTCTGGTGTAGGCAGGTGGAAGCATTTCAAATTTAGAAGTGTTCTTAAGAACCAAAGTTTACTGTCTCCTAAATTCTGAGTGTACTCATTTGTTACAATCTCATGATTAAGTGACATGAAGCAGGCTCACCCATCTGAATAGTTGCTGCCCTAAGAGAAATGTTCAGTTCTGTTACTGTTCTAGTTGTTCTGTAGTTATGATAGTTTCTACAAGAAATACCACATGTTCAGATAATGCTCTTAATAATACGTGGAGCTTCTGTTCAAAATTAATAAGCTTATGTGCCTTTTCTTCCTTCCAGGGAAGGCAGATCACCTATGTGGTGTTTCTATCATAAAGAATTGTGAAGAAGATATTAAAATGTTTCAGTTTATTTATAAATAAATTTAATAACAAAGATTTAATGACTTTATATAGAAGGAAAACATGATACTCCAAGTTTTGCCATTTTAGAAAATTTGCAGTGAACTCTACATTCTCATTTGAAACACTGCAGTGGTGAGCTGGAAGAAATCTCACTACTAGCTGAATCTATGTAGTTAGCTTTCAGCAAGTTACCATCTGTCTTTGGTAGTACTCCTGTGGCTGGAAAAGTCCCCATTTAAATACTTGAAGGTTAGAGTTCAAACAAAAAACTCCACACACACCCCCCACATACACACTCACACACTCTCTTTCCGTAATGGAAGAGGGAGAGCTTACTTAAACCGTAGGGAGAATTTCTGTAAAAACCACACCTTCAAAATATTTTAGCATGTAGCTTAATTAGTAAAATGTTCCATTGCAACTCTGATTTACCTTACAGACTTACAAAGCCTTCCTCCCAGCAATGATTGCCACTAACCATGGACACTTGGTTAGCATAGCAAGCTCTGCAGGACTGTGTGGAGTCACTCGTCTTTCAGGTAGTGTATTCAAGCTAGTTTGATTTAAATTCTGCAATCAATACTTATGGGGAAAAAACCCCACAAACTAAATTTGTGTTTTCTGGATCTTTCCTTAGAGGTAAAGCAAGTAGTCACGCTTTCAAAGCAGCTGACCTTAAATAGACAATTTCTTTAAAAAGTTTTCCAGAAGCTTAGCTGTGCTCTAAAACGGGTTTTTTGGCCAAAGCAGTTAGGTGATCTAGAAGCCACGTAGGACTTTGGAAACTGAGAACCTCAGTGTTGATAAAGTTAACTTGCAGGTTTCTGATAAGGAGGAGGCCACTCTAGATTTAGTGAAAAATCAGAAGGCATTTCTGAAAAATGTATACGAAGGGGGAGGAAAATGATAAAGGTGACATAGCAGTAAAAGAAATCTAGCCTTAAGGCAGTAATAGTGAGGGAAAAATGCATTTCAAGTTGAAACCACATTAGGGAGTCTTGAAAACTTGAGTTTGATGCATAAGAATCAAGTGCATGGATTCAAAGATAAGGTCTGGTATGAAAAGGTAATTTAATTTACCATTGCTCCATAGAGAGTGGAAAAGTGATAGCAGGGATGTGATGAGAGATCCTCTGTCTGCCAATCTAAAACAACAGTTAATTTAGGAGAGGGAAAGTAAAGGAATGAATCACATCAAAGTCAAACTTTATTAGTAACCTAATCCTGAAAACTGTTCCTATTCTTTTTTGAAGTGTTTTATTACTGGACAGTAATTTCCTGCAGGTACTCTGTATAAATCATTTCAACACCATATTGTGCTGTTGTACACTGAAAAAAAATTAGGTGTCTAGTTAGCTTACTTACTGGAGCAAAATTTTGTTCTCTGTCAAAAACTCTTAATCTGTTCAGGAAAGTTTAATTTGTAAAATTAAATATTTAACTGCAATTAATGTTTTATTTTACAGATTACTGTGCAAGTAAATTTGCAGCAGTTGGTTTTGCAGAGTCAATTGATGCAGAGATGAGAAGTCTGGGAAAGACTGGTATTAAAACCACAATTGTGTGTCCTTACATCATAAACACAGGCATGTTTGATGGTGTTAAAACCAAGTGAGTAAACTCTTGTGAGGTTTTTATGCAAGTTGCATGTTGAGTGTGTTACATACCCCTATTTCCTTTATGAAAATCATGAGCTAGGATTTTCTCTGCTTGTGCTATTTTTAGGGCTTCAGATAGGTGTTAACAGTGCTATTCAGTGACTGGGCAACCCAAATGTCAAAGGCCTAAGTACTTTACTATTCATTTAAGCTGAAATGTGAAACGTTATTAGTGTCCTTCCTCTGCAGAAGCCAAATGCTCCAGTTGTCCTGTCTGGTTAGTAAACACCCATTCATGTCCTGAAACCGGTGTCATAGGCTTGCTCAGTATGCATGTATAATGACAACATTTACAAGTCAAATAAAAGGTGGTGTGTGTTAATAGGAGGACTCTAATTTGTCTTAAGAGGTCTTACAGAGGGAAAATAACAATGTCCATTCACTTGAACATAACGAAGGTTCTGTTGTTCATAGGTTTTGTGGCATTTATTTCTTTTTCTAGTTGAATAACTGTAAAATGGAGACTCATTTTGAGTTAAATGTGAGTCCAATTTGTATTATAGTAAGAGATGTTTTCTCTTTCAGGTGGCCACATCTGTTTCCTGTGCTGGATCCAGAGTATGTGGCTGAGAAGATAGTCACTGCTGTTCGACAGAACCAAGAAATGTTGCTGATACCACGCATCCTTTATGTATTATTTGCTTTGAAAAAGTAAGTTATGACTTTCTTTTCCTCTCTCTCTTTTCTGTCCAAGGGATGTTCCAGCTACATGTTTGACCAGAAGTACCAAACAGGCTTCCACTTGTTGTTGTGACTTTCCATTAGGTTCTGCACATTTCTGAAGGGTTCCTTTTTTGTTGTTTTTTTTTTTAAGATGTTCAGTCTACCCTTGGACCACAGAACAATGACAGAAATGTCTGTGACTTGCTGACTCCACTGGGGTGCTGTTTTACTGCAGGATGTAGAGACTGGGCCTGCTGCTCAGTAACTGCATGTCATAGGATCATTGGTTGGGAAAGACCTCTAAGATCACTGAGTGCAGCTGTTAACCTAGGACATATCTGGTGTCTTGCTCCAGCATTAGGGCATTTCTGACTCTGTTGCAAGCCAGGTTGATGTCACAGTTCGGGACAAGAGACAAGAGACCTGCAGGGTTCAAGCAGGGTGACAGATCTCAGGCAGATCTGCTTTATTCAAAATGGCTCCCCCTTTTAGGGGGAACAAGGAAGGTTCTACAACAAGGGGAGTGAACAGTCCAATTATGAGATAAGGAGACGGAATTACATGAATATGGAATTAGGTAGGTGGGTAAATAACCATTTAAGGTAGAAAGGAGATGGGCATAGCCTTATAACGAACATCTGCACTGCAGCAAAAACTGTCCAATAGAAAAACAGGAAACCAACTGAGGGGAGAAACCTTATAAAAACTTGGGGTACAAAGCCTTTTTAAAACATGCATTAACATTGTTAAAGAACCAACCAGAAAGTCCTTTAAATGCAGTCCGTCAAACAAAACTTGGTCCTCCACCCCTCTCCTCAAGGAATCCTTTTCTCCTTTTTGTGGTACAACTCTTCTTCGCCATGGTCACCTCCAACAGGTTGGGATACCGATCTGTCTAATAACTCAGTCTACCAAACAAGTGTAATAGGTATTATGAGAGGACCAGTGAGTCTATATTCTAAAGAGTATACTGCCTTTGCCTGTACTAGCCAGGTAAAACATTCTGTGACAAAACTGCACAACTCCTCTGATGTCTGTTTTGTTCCTTTTTGTCTTCTTCCTTACAGCATCCTACCAGTGAAAGCAGCTGTTCTCCTTCTGGACTATTTTGGAGCATTCCATTTAATGGATACCTTCAAAGGTCGACCAAAGAAGGATTAAAAAAGCACAAAATTCAGAGACCAGCAACTCTAAAGTGGACCTTGTTAAAGGCGGTGATGGGAAAAGAAACATTTGCTTCTATAGCAGTTGTGAACTTAGGGTGCCTCATTTCTCATTAGTAACAAGATTTAGAAAAGTTGCTTTTTAATTGGCACTTAACAGCTTTCATTTGAACTATTTTTTCAATTCAGTGAACTCTTTTCACCTCATTATGAAAATACATTAATTGAATTTAGTTGCTTTGGTTATGTCTGTTTATAATGCCTTGAATACAATCCTGCATCACAAACTACTAATTGGCAACTTTTGTGGGGAGAATGGAGCAAGAAGCCATATGCATTCAGCAGGAATCCAGAAAAGGCTCTAGTGGACCTGACTTTTTGCTGCCATTCAATGAACCATGACCATGAGTTGTACTGTTGGTATCATTCCGTGGTAAGCTGAAGAATTCGAGTTTCCTGAGACAACAGATTGTAATTCATATGAAAAGTTTTGTGAAATGAAAATATGCGCTGCATTGATGAAAAAACAATGAAATATATTTGGAGGTGGTGGTCTCTGAACTCACAGATTACTATGGATGTCGGAACAGGGATGAGTAAGGATGTAAATTATGTATTTGTGCTGCTGATCTATTTTACCTAATTTATTTTAAAAGCTCATACTATGCAACTTTTGTAACAGAAGTCTTTGTATCATTTAGGTGCAGTATTTAATGAACAATTTTAAATTGTCATCTAAAAAGAATGAACTTGTAGCAGTAAAGCAGAAGACTGCCAGTCTAGATGGACAATACAATGTCTTGTCAAGTAAGACAATAAGCTACTAAAAGCAAAGGTGGTGTATTGTATAATAGGAGTTTCTCTTGGGATTATTTCAGAAAGGAACGATGCTGATGGAACTGGAGTGAATGGTGTCATTACAGGCATAGCTTGAGTAATGGCATGATGTTTTGCTTCTCTGAGTTGGGTGGCAGGTTGCCTTGTGTCTACAGAGACTTGTGTTACTTTCTCTTTACTCTTAGGACTATCCATTTATTTTGGACATATGCTGAGGAGGCCTTGCCCTTTTTGAAAAGGGAAGGATAGAAAGCTGAAAGCCCCCTCGAGTTTTTTGTAATCCAAAACAAGAAAAAGGAATCTTATATGTATGTCATTTATGTACATGCTGGCTAAGCCCATGTCATGTCACAGCGCTTGCTACAGTGTGACAGTGCTTGTCACAATTGGTACAGCAATTGGAACAGTATGGAGAAAAGGGTGACTTTTTAATGGTTAACAAGTAAAAAAGAGGTTGTCTAAATGTGCTGTCCATACATACATTGCACTGTTCTCAAAGTCCACCACTAATAACTGTGTGGTGTATCTGTGTCTTCAGACTCCTCACCTCTTTATACTAACGGACCACATTTTTCCCTCCTGGCTATGAAATACTAGGTATGCAGAATTCTGGAGCAAAGGGGAAGAAAAGTGGGTTGTGCATATGAGCAGTTTGAGTGGCAAACTCCAGAGCAAGTAGCTTTTCATTTTTAGTGTCAGCAGGGGACTCTGTTGGATCACTGGTGGTTGCCACGTTGGGGGGCCCCTGGGTGTGTCTGTCCTGCTGGCTGAGTCCTATGGTGTAACTTTCCCCTCTCCTTTGATGTACACAAGAACTGCTGCTGAAAAAAATGGACAAGGAAAGGCCTCCCAAACAGTTCCTCGCTGACAAAAATCCAAGCAAAATTCCCAGCTGGCAGCCAGGCCGAGAGCAAAGCCACCTCTGAGCTCCTGCCACCCGGACCTCATCCCAGCTCAGGCAGCAACAACCTTCTTCCTCGTTTCCCTGAGAGTAGGAAAGAAAAGTAAAAAAAACTCCTTACCCCTCCCCTCAGGTAAGATCTTGAGGGACATCAACTTGGAATGTGGTTTTACCAGCCACTTCTTTTGTGTTAATGGCCCAAGCCACAGCCAACCTGCCTATTCAACATCACTTTCACACTATGGGCAGGGGGAAGAGAAAAATTCCAGCTTCGTTTCCCAGAACAAACAAAACCATGGCACTCTTTGAATAACCTGTTCCAGTGTTTGTTCACACTCTGCTTACAAACAAATAAAATTATGTTTATATTGAATGTACTCTTTCTCCTTGTCTTTTCAGTGGGTACCACTAAGAGTCTGGCTCTGTGTTTTACACTGTCCTTTTAGGTACTTATACACATTGGGCCTGAGCCTTTTCTTGAGACTGAGCAATCCCAGCAATCTTGACCTCTCCTTGTATGACAGATGTTCCAGTACCTCAATTATCTTTGCAGCCCTTTCCTGGACTCAGTATATTCAAATCTTTTAGAGACCAAGCTCTGTGGAAGATTGAGCATGTACAATATGTCATACAAAGCTTCACTAGAAAATCTCTGCTTGCTAGCTGTGCTGGTAGGAGTACACAAATATGCTGCTACCGCTCTGAATATTGAGGTCACTGTCAAATTACATCATGTGCCAGAAGGATAATATCCTGTCCCGTGGTCGTTTTGATCTCCCACATTTCCTGAGATGGCATGACAAATAAGTGGAGCTGTATCCTGGAGGTCAAACAGGGCAAATCCTTTCCCTGTGTTAAGAAGGTTGCATGGAGTATTTGGATCTTCAGCTGATATATTAACTTGTTGAGATAAAAAATGGTTTACTTCCAACATAATAATGGTCTTGATTGACTACTTTCCTGATGCGAAGAAAGACTTTCCTCCTGCTTTTAGCAAGAAAACTCATGGAAGGATAGCTGTCAGACCCAAACAAGAAGATAGAACAGGAAAAGAAAGAGCAATTCAGTTGTGACAGCATAACATCTGACAGTAGCCCAGGACTGGTGGATTGTATATCAGGCAGCTCCCACAAAAGAATTGTTGGTTTAATAACCATTGCTTGAAATATTAAATAGTCTCCTAACAAAAATGACTGGGTCCCAAATTTGACTGGAGATGGCTGTGTTGGCCTAAAAGTTACTGATAGGGTGATTCAATGACAGTGTATGGTATTTTGTTGCCTGTTGTATTTCCTTTAATGCTTCAAAACGTGGAGGACATCATGTCAAGAAAAATTAACTTGATCCTCTGAACAAGACTAAGGAAGAAAGCAAACAAACAAAAACAGTAGCTGAGATACAGGTTTTATTATTACTTGTTTTATGAATTTGGAAATCATACCCAAGAGCTATATGCACCTCCTTGGAAGCTGGTGTTCATGGGGGTCTGGTCTCACTTCAGGAAGGAACCAAGTGGGTACCTCTTTTCTGGTAACTTTTCCTAGGGGCAGTTGATCTTCCAAAGACACCTGTGTGGACTGCTAAACAGCTGTTCAAAACGTGGGCTTTATAAAACTAATATTTTAAGAAAATAGCTTCTCTTGCTGACTTTTTCTTTGCTGTGACAATCATGAGAGATGGGTTTTGATCCACGGTTATCAGATGTTCTAGGAGAATGCAGAACTACTGTTTGTCAGGTGACACTTAAAAGTGTTATTAATGCTTCACTAGGTGGAGCAGCACTACAAACTCAGTGTATGACACACTTCCTGTGCAGTCCTAGGTGTCTCCAGCTTGACTGATACTTTAGGTGCTTGCCAAAGCCACCAGGCTCACAGCCTGAAGTTGTGAAGACAGCACAGTGCCTGAGGAAAACAATAGTTTTGTCTAGGGAAGAGAGGGAAGAAAATCTTCACACCTTCTTCCCTTGCCCTTGGCACCATTCACAATAGGAATATGAGCATCCTCTTAATTGGGACACAGATGTTGAAGAAAAGGGTATGATGAAGGTAGAAGTTCCATTCCAAGGCACCTTGCAGTATTTGGCCTGCTGGGTAGTTACTGTTCAATTAAAACAAACCTTGATTATTGGTATAGCTGTGTTGAGAGATGTCACCCTTATCCAAGGTAGTAAATAAGTACATCTATCTCAGGAAATGTCGTTCTGCAGGACTTGTATTGGAGCAGTATTCCAGAAACCCTACCCAGGAGAGAAGAACAATAGAAAAGATGCAGGAGAGGCAGAACCCTGAGACAAATTCTGACATTTCCTCCTCTCCATGTCTTCAGGTCCAGAGGCAGCATCGCTGGCATTAGCATAGAAAGAAGAATCAACAGAGCCAGAACACGAGCAGCAGCAACAACACTGTCGGCAGATGCAGCCAACAGCAAAAAAGAGGTTCTTGCTGAACACGTTTGGCCAGTTGGCACCATAAACTTCATGCCTAGAAGGGGCCATGATTTAGTCTATGAAACCTGGGAAATGGTGCAGTCCCCATGGGGAGGTAACTGCATCACCTCTATTAAGTGCCTTACTGCAGAAGCAGCTTGTTCAGAGATTAATGCAGAGTGATTTGTGATAGCTGCAGAATCTATTCAGCACAGGGTTTTTAATGATTATTGCCAAGAAGTGGGAATTCTTGTTGGAAGGCTAACATGGAAAGTCTTCTCTATATTAACTTTAGAAAATACACTTTGCATTACTTATTGGTCTGTCTGCATATTTCTGGCACGATAATGGTTGACCCTGAAGAACAGCCACACAATGCACCACAGTTATTGCAGAATATTGTTCCCATTTTTTGGGGAGCTTCTAACAAATTAAGAGAAAGCTATCAATTACAAGCAATCACATCTGTAAAGGGTGTTGTATCCAGAAGGAACAAATGTCACCTGGATGGCCAGGTGAGGTGCTGTTTTGAAGTGTTTCCTTCAGGAAGTATGTAATTTCCATGCTCTAGTATTGAGTCAGTCTGTAACAGAGAATGGGAATAAAATGACAAGGTATTTGGTTGAAATTTCTGTGTTCCAATTTCTTGAAAAAGGAATACCATAGTAATTTCACCAAAAAAAAAAAAAAAAAAAAAAAAAAAGACTTGAAGCAGGAACCATCTGCTGATAAAAATTATCTCCATCTGCAGCAAGAGGCAGAAGTCTGTTTCCAACCTTGCTTCTGAGCCAAGGTCTTGGAAGACAGCTACAAAACTAGTTTATTCAACATTTTTTTTTCCACATTGCCAATGAAATGGCTGACTGCCCTCATTCATGCTTTTAGGTACAGCTAATTTTATCTACAATAATATTCACAATAACATTTTAAGGATTATAGATTGGTCCTTAGCATTCAGATAATTAAAAAAAACAAAGTCTCTTTGCTTTTAATTTGTGTGTGGTTTTAACTCTGTCCATATAAAATGGGACTGGTTTTCAGCTTCCATTCAAAGGGGAGAGAGCACTTAAACAATCACTTCGTGTTCAAGAAATAATGTCCTCTCATCTGCTTTTTCCTAGATTTGGAGAGAGGCAGCTACATTTTTGGTATCCAAAGTGGAAAACCAGCTTAGGGAACAAGGTGGGAGGATGGATGAAAAAACAGTGAGGAAGTTTAATTCATCAGTTCAAATGGGAGTCCACTCCCTGGAGTCCACTCCCAGTCCACTGACTGGTCTCCAGACTTTATACACCTACATGGAGGATGCAAGAAAAGAGGGAAGGGTGATATTGGTAACGAGTAATTAGTTGGTAAGTAGTCTCTTATGGGAAGTACCATAACATTTCCTTTTGGTCCAGAGGATTCTTGAAGGCTCGACCTGTTTCTACTGGTCTAGAGAATTTCCTGAGCTGAAATAATGATAGGTTAGCATTGTGTTTTAAAGTCTCAAAAAAGGTATTTTTTTAAAATAAGCACTTTGGAAAAGTGGAATATAGGACATATATAAATATGCATATATATACACTTCAATTATACATATATTAATTATAATGTTTATGTTTTGTTTGGATTCTGCCTGTACAGAGATATAAAGAGGTAGATCAGAGCTGTTGTGAGTGAAGGAGCAATATGCCTCCTTCCTGAGGCAGACAAGTCTTTACAACTAGTTTTTGCAATGTGGTATGCTATAGCAGATTTGAGATTTACATCTGAAGCCAGATAGTGACTTGCCTGTGCAATTCTTTCCCTATCAGATTAAATAATCTCTTTCAAAACAGCAGGCATTTTATGGGCCAGCACCCTGAGTGCTAAGAACCTAGACTAAGGAGACAGTGGCATGTTCACATCTCTTTTCTTGATTCACCGAGCCACAAGCCTAGCCTTTTTAACATTGTCAGAACATTGTGCAGAAATAATGGATTTTTCACATCCATAGAGAGATCCGTTGCAATATTTCCATTGTGAAGGTCTCTCCTGTGTTGTCTTGTACATATGTTTTTTCTTTTATTGTGTTACAGCAGACCAAGCTACAAAGACATACTGTGAATATCTATCCATGTTCTCCACCTGAGTTATAGGTTGATTTGTTTGTTTGATTGTTTTCTTTTTAATAGTGTTCTCTTAATATCCAGAAAAGAGCATGAAAAGTACAGGAAGATCAGGAGAACAAGCTAAGGGAGAAATTCGGGGATCACACCAATTCCTTGGCTAAGGATTTTGGAGGAGGTGTAATAAAGCAATAAATTATACCTTTACAACCAAATAAAAATTCTCTTAACTACTTTGAAGTATTTGATCTTGCCACTTTGAAAATCACCCTGAGGAAATCTACAATGTCCATTCTCACATTCCTACATGTAAACCATTAGAGCTTCTGTGGTGACTTATGAAGTTTGGCATTTGTTAGCGCTTCGTGTCTGTGTATTCCATTAAATCTATTTTGGAAGACATTCTACCACAAGACTGGTCTCCAGACTTTATACACCTACAAATATTTTTAAAGGACATTTTAACATCAATAGATCTATTAATCTTTTAAACTGTAAACCAAATATAACCTAAATGAAGAATGACTTGAGGTGAGGAATGGACTCAGAAAAGGTGGTAGCTAAAATAGTCTCTTCCAGAGCCTGTTTGAGATCAGAGAGCGCTGAAAGGTTGTGTTTGTTCCTAAACAGAGAAGTAACTACCCCTTTTTTTTCCCCAGCCTGTAAGCAAGCAAGAAGCTTTGACTTCTGATGGGATGCATTGATAAGATCTGATAATTAGGGGCAGAATGGTCCTGCATCTAACTCGCATCAAGTAAGTATTCATGGCACTGCGTCAGTAATGACTTAGTAGCATTTCAAGATTTCTGGAAATTCCTTGGCTCTCATCCTATTGCCACTCCCAAGCTGGACTGT